GATTCAAGATCGGCCATTATGAACCTGAGCAACGGTAAAGCCGGACCTGCGGCACGGAATCTATTTTGAAGACGGCGCCAAAGAAAGAAGCCAGCTACTCGTTAACACGGGTACCCGGCCACTCGGGTCACTCTGGCAACGAGGGGGCTCACTCGCTAGTGGTCCGTGCGCAAAACATCCGGACCACTGGCGGGATGGGCATCCCCACCACCGACGGAGACCGCAATTATGGGGCGTCACCAATCACGCGGGGTCCCGTAACATATAATGAGATCCTCAGAAACCTCAGGATTCGGCGCAAGTTTTTGGGCGAGCCTCACAAGAAGCTCACCCGACTTCAAGAATCTACGTGGCGGCGCCTACAGCTCCGCAACTCCCTGACTCCCCGAACCCTGAGAAGATCATGGCCAGATCTCTTCGAAGGAAATTGTGAAGAATGCGGCTTCGCGGTCGGGTCCTGGCGGCATACCTACTGGGAATGCCCAGAGACCCCCCTGCCTACTGTCCTGCGAGACATACTAGAGGAAGGCGACGCCCCTGTTTGGGAACGGATATTGGTGGCAGAAGACTACACTGTTCAGGTTGCAGTCGTTTCATGGGTGCAAAAAATTAAGTGCAAGCTCAAGTCGGAGCGAAGAATGCGAAGAATCCCACATTCCCCATCCACCCTTAAACGAACCCTCGTATCAGATGTTATGATCTGATTTTATGGTTCAATAAAGTTTACTGACTGACTGACTGACTCTCGAGTACGGATCGGAGCCACTTTTTTTAAAGCAGGCTCAATGGCAGTTTCCCAACTTAGGGGTTCTAGTAACGTTGCTCCAGGTGTACTCGTCCACGTCTGCGTCGTGAAAGCGTTAAATTTTTATTTTTTTTGTTTGTTTCTCAAAATTTAACCGATAAACTTGTTAAAACAATAATCGTGATTAAATAATTTATCTATTATTAGTATATTAATGGGTCCAGTGCCCAGCCCTAGAATAATGTACGGTACCTGAATGCACGGCAGAAGCGTTGGCGTCGCGCAACGCCTGGTGAGGTCGGTCTATTGGGGGACATGCTTCACACGAAGCACGGACGACCGGGTGACTCGCGGGCGTTTGTCCACGCAACCCAGTCAAACGCATTCAAAAGCAACTCTGTGTATGAACTTTTTTTTCTATCGACACCGTTGATTGCCAATCGCGTTGCGAGCGGTGATATTGCATTACGAAGAACAATAATTGTTGCGTCTTGCTGTTTTACGTACCAAGTGGGACAGAACACCGTGACAGGCTTCACGAGGACGCCATTAGCTTTACTATCCTAAGACATAGCGCAAGTAAGAGCCTCCTGGAGGGGGCTCGGCGTAAAAGAGACGGAGCCTTGGGCTCGCATAACCGCGTTTACCGATGTTCCTCGGTCCCGCATATTCGCACACAACACTACAGTACACTACGGGCGTATCGTTGGATAAAAGGCTGGATGGATGTACTGGAAAGATCGGGGAGCGCTAGACGAGGTCTGAAAGAAGCTTTTCGTCACAAACCGTACCTGGAGTGGCAACCCTTCAGCCTGGAACAGTTTCTGCAGCTCTCATCACGCGGGTAACTTGGAACTGCGCCACAAAACGCATAAAACACAAAGATTTTCCATTTATGTTTTTCTCATTAGAAAAAAAAAGAACAACAAAAAACCCTGTTGTTGCCACACTAAACGCTTTTCAAATCAGTCCCCGGTCATTATTCGCAAGTGAACGGCGGTCGGATTTTCAGTCATTTCAGTCCATCCGCCTGCGGAATAAAACACTATAATCCCTCTCACAGTAATCTTTCCTGGCTAACGTATATGATTTTTGTAGTGACTAAATAAAAAAAAACAATTTTTTTAACAGTTTTGAATTGAAAATGCACAAGACGATCTGACACCGTTCACTTTGACCAATCACCTGACGAGGCTACATTGATGTTAGTATCCACGTGACTCAAAAACTGGTGTTTTCAGAAGTGTCGGACGTCGGTCTAATCGGACACGGTATGATTATAGCTGGATTTCTAAAACTAGTTTGTGCGGCGCGCAAGTGTAACCCTGTGCTAAAGCATTGTCAACATTACCTGGAAGGCACCTATCTATTTATATAATTAAACTGAACTTTCACGACCTCCTAATGTTCCATTTAACGAGGGTCATAATACAGCATTTGCGTTGGTTGACCGTATTCATAGGTTGTGTGTCCCGTTAAGAGCAATATTTTTCAGGTGAACGCGAAGGCGAATTAATGCCGGTCTTTAAGTGTTCGTGTCACTCTTTTCCTTGTGGTTTTTCTTGTATCGTGAAATGTCTAGCATCCATACTCTCATGCCGTCGCTGATTTAATTATAACCTTTCACTGTCAAGTTAGATGCGCTGACCGCATAACTTTTAAAATTGGTTTCATAATTTTCAGTTGCTCATCAAAGTGTATATTTGCGCAAGATAGCGATGACAAAGAAGACGTTGCACGAATTATTGATCAATAAGCTGCCGCTTAACTTTTTTTTTAAAATGAACCCATTAAAAATGTTATCATAGCAATTTTTTTTCTGAGGTGAACGCCAGTGCACCGTTATCTTATGGCTGGAGGACTATTCCATGTAATCGGCTCCCTTAATTGTTCAAAGCTTATAGCCATGACCCGAGTACATTTTAGCTACGTTTATACCAGGGGTCTGAAACTCATTGGAGTTTGAGAGCCCTGGAGGCCAGGTAGGCCACCCCTCGAAAGGACGAGGGTCAACGAAGGGGGGGGGGGGGGGGGGGGGGGGAGGGGAAGCAATATTTTGCTATTTTGGGACAAAAAGTATGCAAACAAAACAGCTGACTGCCCCTGCGACACCCTAGAGAGTTTATAGACAAGGAACCTTATGATTTCTGCTTTTTGTAAGCTCATAGCTTTATTAGGATAGCGCAGCCTGATCTTGAAGACGAAAAAACGTGAAAAAAAGAAAGGAAAAGTGGGCCTGTCCTAGTAATGCACCAACTAGCTCAACCCAAGCGAGTAACTCATCGTTTTGCCCATTTTGGTTCTTTTTTTGCATATACGACTACTTTGGGACCAGATATGATCTTATAAAAGGAGTTAAAACACTACCGTACTACAGTACTGACAGTTTTCAATAGAACAAGAGAAAGCAAACCTTCCTTGCCTGTCACACAATTCACTAGGCTCAGCAGGCTTAGAAGAAGAATCTCTTTATGCGGCAGTTTCTACTTTTTTGGCTCTTTCTACACTAGCATTATATGGAAATACTCTCATTTTAAATGTATTCTCTGACGGGCAGAACCATGAGTGCATAGCCTTATCTTTTGGCCGCTGCTTTTGCTCTGCAAGACTTCGCGCAGCCGAAGTGTCTCCTTGAGCAAAGAGATCGCACGTGCATACCCTAGTAGTGGTGTTGCCATTCCGGTTGATTTACATGAGAAAGGGTTGAAAAGCAAAGATTTAGACAAAGCAATCTTTGGAGAAATAATAAAAAATGAACGACGTATAGAATTTTCTGTAATGCCGAATTAGAGCGCAGTTCTTGAGGCGGAGGAGGGGAGGGTACGGAGTGGAGGGAATGGCCCACCTCCCCCTCCGTAGCCTCCACTCCTTCTCTTCTGCTCCCCTCCCATTTAGCCGTAAATTTCACTAAATTTCCCGCTAAATTTAGCGGAGAATATTTGCCGTTATATATAGAATGGAAACGTTTCCGCTAAGCTTAGCGGGAAACTTCTTCTGTCAAAGTTAGCGTGAAGATTTTTCCGCTAAATTTAGCGGGAAATTTTATCGTCCAACTTTGGCGGGGCATTTTTTCCGTTAGATTTATCGGGGAAATGTTCCCGCTAATCTTAGGCACCGTGTGACGTCGCGAGGGTGACGTCAACCTCGTGGTTCTCACGGCGTCAATCTCGAAACTCTCGTGACGTCATTATGGGAAACGTTTCATAATGCAACGTGCGGTTACGCCGACGGCGACGTCGCCCAAGCCGGAAACGGGCGCCTAAGTGCTGCGCTCTAAGAACAAACAAACAGAATAATGAAAATTGCATAAACAGAGCTGTCGGGCTCAACTGCGCATGTACAAAGCTCCTGACACAGATGGAGCGCGTGGTTGGAGGAGACAAGGCCATCGCGCTGTGCTGAAGCCGCCTGCTCAAGATGCAGCACTTGGCGGCGGAACACCTGGGATCGACGCAACACCGAGCAACGGCACAAACCTCAAGGACTGACGGCGATGACCTCAACCGCACACACGCCGGGGAAGGCGGGTGTAGTCTTCGGAGGTGCTACGTGCGCGGCATCACGTTGCGCCCTTGGCCTACCGTACGGGATGCGGTCGACGACACACCCCGTCGTTTCCTCGGCCTTGGACCACGGTCGGGACGGCCAAGCTCCGGTCCGCGAGCGCCTCATCCGAACGGCTTTGTGGCACGTTCCGGCGACACCGGGTACTCTAGCTGCATGCGGGCTACGCGGCCTACGTGACTGACGTTTCGTTCTCGCCCTTGGCTGAACGTTATAAAAGCAGCGGACTCTTTTGTCAGGGGGACAGACCCCGAGCGGGACTAAACATGCTTCTTGCTGTAAATATGCAATAAACTATCATATCAGTCCTAAAGGAGTTGCTTCAAGGTGCCGGCAGATTGGAACCGCAGCCCGTCGAGGGGCAACTAACCCGATCGGCGAACGTCGGGCGCCTTCACGGACAAAGGTGAAGAGGCGGTTGCAGAAGTGGCGCAGTCGGCAGGATCTGCTTAGGCTGAGCTGAAGAACTCCGCTGTGACGAGGGACGACCGGGACTGGTGAAGGCGGCGACCTCAAGCTGGACCGTGGAGAGCCATCGGACACTCCAAGCTAATCCGACCAGCCGGGGCACCGAGGGCCACGCAGCACAGCGCTTGGGTAGCTAGTCGAGTACCCCCTTGGTTCCTGTTGGGCGCATGTTATGCCAAAGCCTTGGGTTTTGAGGAGTGATATCGCTAAGGAAACAGGGGAAATGGCGGATGGGGCGGGAGATGAGTTGGCACTCACAGGTCAGACGGGAGGAGCAAATACCACATCAGAGGCGGCATCGGAGCAGCAGATTATGCTGCTGCAGTTACAGTTAAAAATTGCTGAGGCAGAACGAGAGAAGCAGCGAATGGAGCTGGAAGTCCAGCGGCTGCAATCACAAAGGAGTGCAGAGCCTGGCGAGGTTGACAGCAGCTTCGCGGTGGCCGCAAAGGCGGACGAGGATAGACGGCTGAAATTTGCAGGTCTATTAAAAGGTGTTCTTGCGCCAATGCCGAGCCAGGAGGCACTCGTGCCTAGCTGGTTCGAAGATGTAGAAGCCACCCTTGAGTCGTACGAGGTGCCACGCGAGTGGTGGGCCGGACTGATCTTGCCGCGGCTTAGTGAGCGGGCACGGGGTCTTCTCACGCGGCTCTCTTCGGAAGAGAGAAGAGATTACGCTGCTCTGAAAAGCAAAATTTTGGATGGTTTGCGGCTTTCCGCGGCTGAATACAAGCGTTTGTTTTCTGGGTCGACGAAAGGAGCGAAGGAAACTTGGGAGGAATTCTCAGTGAGGTTATAAAATTACCTTGATTGCTATCTGGAAAGTTGCAAGGTGAGCTCGCTGCGAGAATTTAAACACCTGACAGTAGCAGACCGTTTGAGGGAGTGTTTAACTGCGGAAGCGCGGGCGCATGTTATTTTGAATGAGAAACCAGGTTTCCTCAGGCCTATCGAGGTAGTGAAGCTAGCAGAGAGTTACGACGAAAGCCGTAAGAACAGGCCTGCTGTGGTGTCTAGCACGGGTGCGCCGGTTGTGAATTTGACGGCAGGCGAGGCTGTGGCGTCGTCGCAAGCAAAGAAAGCCAACTGGGACGCACGTATAAGGAAACAGTGCTTCAAGTGTCACGCAACGGGGCACATAGCTAAGCAGTGCCCAACGAGGGAAACCACGGAAGCCCGCCTCGTCAAGGGCAGAGACAGGTCTGTCATTGCTCGGGTAGCCTTTCCGCAGTATGAGAAGGAAGCTTCCCAAGCTCGAATAGGACTACCTAAAGTGAGCAAGGTCATCGGTACGAGAGGAGTAACACTGACTAACGCAGGTCGGACATTACACGCAAGGGTTGATTCAGGGGCGGACATAACAGTGGTTAGAAAGGCAGCTTGTCAGAAATATGAGAGTGCAGGGTCGACTATAAAGTTGACTGGTGCATTCGGGGAACAGGTCATTGCAGAGCTGGCGTACGTCCCATTAACGGCGACAGAGGGCGTACCGCTCGTGTCATTCAATCCGTCAGAACGAGGAGTCTTGTGTGCGCTTACCGACAGGCTAGTCACGGGAGTGGATGTTTTGATTGCTCTCGAGGACTACGACCAGCTGCTCAAGGAGAGAGTGGGATGCGAAGTTCAGGAGGACATAGAAATGCGTGGTGAAGAAGTGGAAGAGGAAGAAAGCTTAGACGAACTAGAACACACCGAAAATGCACTGTCTTGCGCGGTGGAGGCTGAGAGCTTGGAGGGCGGTAACGCGCAGACGCGAACGACGCGGCAACAGTTTCGCGAGGCGCAATTGGCAGATGAGTCGTTGCGTGAGGCGTGGGCACAGGCCTGGGAGGGGACGCATGGCATGACAATACGCGACGAGTTGCTGTTCCATCAGGAACCGATCGCAGGACATCAGTGCTGTCAACTCGTGCTACCGTCAGATCGCCGCTCAAAGGGGTTGAAGATGGCACACGATTCTGCGTGGGCGGGGCACCTCGGCGAGCGGAAAACGCTGCAACGTATAAAGGGCTCCTTTTTCTGGCCAAGCATAACGCGGGACGTAAGAGAATACTGCCGTTCGTGTCTGTCGTGTCAGGTGAGGTCCCCAGCTCGTACGCTGGACCGCGTACCAATCACGCCACTGGCCAGACCGGAAACCGCTTTTCAGGTGGTTAACATGGACTGCATCGGTCCGATTGACCCGCCATCGGCGCGTGGTCACAGATACGCATTGTGCGTAGTAGACGTTAACACTAGATGGCCAGAAGTAGTGTGCCTCAGGACACTGATAGCAAAGGCCACGTGTGATGCGTTATTGGAAATCTTCGCGCGTCTGGGAGTCCCCGAGGTGGTGTGTAGTGATCAGGGGACAAATTTCACTGCAAAGGTGACCCAGCAGCTTCTCTCGAAGCTAGGGGCGTGCCCGAGATTCTCCACGCCGGTCCACCCACAAAGTAACGGACTCGTCGAACGTTGGAATGGAACATTCAAGTCGATGCTTTTTCACATTGTGAGGGAGCATGGGCGGGAATGGGACAAGTTTGTACCGTTCCTGCTTTGGGCTTACAGAGAGGTCCCGAACGTAACGACGGGTAAATCGCCGTTTGAGCTGATGTACGGGAGGGTACCAGTGGGGCCACTCTCGATACTTCAAAAGACATGGTCTGGCGATTGGGCTGTCCCGGACACTCTGGGCGTGTCCGCAGAGGAATACCTATCGCGCTTGCGCGAAAGGTTAATTGAGGCTAACGCAAGGGCCGAAGACAGTACTACGGTGGAGCAATGTAGGTACGCTAGCAGGTATAATCTGCGGGCGACAGACAAACAGTTTAGAGAGGGGCAGCAGGTTTTATGGCTCGAGAGAGAGGGCGAGGGCAAATTAGTGGCCAAGTGGAAAGGACCGGCTAAGGTGGTTCGCAAGTTACGGCCGTACAGTTACTTGATTGAGATGGAGGATGGAACATCTCGATCAGTACACGCAAACAAGCTTCGCGCGTACCACGCCCGGGTTGGCGCCGTGGGTTTGATTTTCGAGGGTGACAGTGATTTTGGGGACATCCAAACATCCCCAACGCAAGGTGAACGAAACCATCGAATACCGCTCGCTGCGTTGAGTCACTTGAAGCCGTCACAGCGTGCTGAGGTTGTCGCGCTGGTCACTAGGCACGGCCAGGTCTTCGGGGACAGGCCAGGAAGGTGCACAGTTGGCATGCACAAAATAAAGATCAAGGAGGGCGCGGCGCGAGAGCCCGTTCATCCGGATAAGGTACCAATGTCTTTCCGAAAGGAAGTCGAACGGCAAGTACAGGAGCTCTTGGCGTGGGACCTGATATACCCTGTTGAGAGCCCGCACGCGTATTCAATCGTATGCGTAAGCAAAAAGGATGGGGGGCTGAGGCTGTGCTGCGATTATCGTAAGCTCAACAGCATCACCGAACCAGACGCATTCCCGATGAGTCCACCCTCCGAGTTGCTGCTGCAGGTGGCAAAGGCGAAGTATATAACCTTGATTGATATGCTAAGGGGATATTGGCAAATACCACTGGATGAGCAGGCACAAGCTATCACGGCATTTGTGACACCGGTTCGTGAGTACGCCTGGAGGGTAATGCCATTTGGACTGAAGAATGCGAGCGCCACGTTCCAGAGAATTATCAATGGTGTGCTAGCACCCCACAGGGAATACGCGTGCGCGTATATTGACGATATCGCTGTATTCTCCGAGACATAAGAGGAGCACCTCCAGCACCTTGAGAAGGTGCTCACTGCAGTCGCGGCCGCAGGCTTTAGAGTAAATGCAGCCAAGAGTCGTTTCGTGAAACCAGAGGTTGAGTTTCTGGGGCATGTTGTAGGCTCCGGAAAACTCAGTGTAGACCCAGCGAAGGTCAAGACGATTGAGGAAATACCTGCACCGCAGACAAAAAGGGAGCTCAGGAATTTCTTGGGGTTAGCCAATTACTACCGACAGTACGTTCCGGAGTACGCCCGCATAGTGCTACCTCCCACTAATCTGACCAACAGGCGAACACCACAACAGCTGCCTTGGGATACCGAGGCGCAGAGCGCATTTGAAAACATAAAAGACTGCCTCAAGCGCGCGGCATCGCTTTACGCACCAGACCCCAATCGCGAGTACATCCTTGCCACCGATGCCTCCGATTACGCAGTCGGAGCGTGTCTTGCACAGCGCAATGACCAGGGCAAGGAGTGTCCGGTTGCATTCTTAAGTAAGAAGCTCAGTACGACCCAGGCTCGCTGGGCCACGATAGAAAAGGAGGCCTACGCAATCATCTGGGCATTGGATAAATTGGAGGTCTGGCTTTTTGGCGCACAGGTCCGCGTGGTGGGGTCCATATCACAAGAGCGAATGACATTTTAGCGAACGGCGACATTTGAGCGAATGGTCGTTTTAGCGAATAACGGGGGCGCGCGTTAACCCATCCGTCGCGCTGCGCTTTACGCCGCTTCGCGGCGACAGTCTACGGCAACTCATTACAAAAATATGAACTCACTTGGCCCACCCGAAAACGCCGCTTCGCGGCGTCCGACTATTCGCTAAAGTGTCGTTCGATGAAACGTGGGCGTTCGCTAAAACGTCATTCGATCAAGTGAGTGCCTCCCCGCGTGGTGACTGACCACAATACACTAAAGTATCTGACTCTGAGCAGTCCGCACAGCGCGAAGCTGACTCGATGGGCTCTAGCGCTACAGAGATTCAATCTGACCATTGAGCACAAAAGGGGAGTCGAAAACGCGAACGCCGATGCACTGTCGAGGCTGGTGGGTGCCAATGAAGAAACGCAGTAGGGGCCGAGGGCACAGGCGGAGCGGGCAATTCGCAGTACTCAAGGCTCTGTCATGACTTGTGTTCGCGGGAGCGGGGGTACAGTCTACACCCGGACGCGTATAAGCAAACCATATCCCGTACAGCACCTGGCCACGCCCCCTTGTCACGTGACATGACGTCACTTCCGCCAAGGCAATTTGTCATGTCACGTGACCTGACGTCACTTCCGCTCCAAACCGAAACCAGTTGTTTTATTGGTTAGCGAATTGTCACGTGACATGACGTCACACGCGCCGTTGTGGCAAGGTAAACATGGCGCCCGCCGCCGCCTGAAGCACGAATCGTGCGCGGTCGATCATCGGTGCAGTCGCGGCTGAAGCCAGAAACGCTTGAGACGGGAAGCCCACGTGATCGACGCAGTCGCGGCTGAGACGCTGTGAACGCGGTGACGCGAGGGACTCAACACTTGGTGACGCAACTACGCGACGCCCGCAGTATGCGACGTCTCACATCGTGCTTCTGCACAGGAGTGCGTAAAAGGCGCAAGTACTTCTCTTAGCGTTCTCAACTCGTCGCTTGATAAGAGCGAAGCAAGGTTACTACCAACGCCTACCGCTGGTTTCCGAAGTCGAGCCTTCGGTTTCCAACGTCGGGTCTCGATGTCGCCGCTATTCTTGCCGCGCAGGTTCGTCGCCGACGTGGCGGATGTGAACCATGTCATGCATGAACGCTTGCCTTTTTCGATACGAAAATATGCTCTGTCGTCACGAACGCTTACGCCGACCCACAAGCTGAATTTGAAGTATTGTCAGCATTTTTATTTCGCCTGTACGTTGTCATCGCATCACCGTTACTCGCGGCGACGCAGATCTTCGTGCTTGCCTTCTAGCGGTGCCGCGGCTCTCCCGACCTAAAATAAAAAAAAAGCTGCTCTACCCTCGAACCGCAAATTGGGGAAGAGGTAAAGAAATTAGCTTAGTACCGTCAGAAACACTCGTATGACGATAGGCATGCCCAGTGGAACTATGAAGAGAAAAAACAAGAGTGCATACTTTGAACTCGAAAAGTTTTTATTTCACCACATTAAATATATTGTTGCAATGCAGTGCTGGTTTCAAAGAATGCTATTTCCTCAGTCCCTTGCAAAATGGCAAGTTCACACTGAAAAGCAACAGTTTACGTGTACAAAAAGAAGTTCACAAATGGTAATAATAGTTTCTCTCGAGACCTAGGGTAAAGCAAACGGGCATGTCGCCTCAAACGCACATGAAAGCTGTAACTTTGGAAGCTACTACAGCTTTTTCATGTAAAAGCAGCTTCACACACTTGCAACAGCTTATGACCTGTGGCTGACCAGTCAGTCACAAGAGGCTAAAATCGGTTTGAAGTCATTCCCTTCGTAAGCAGTTTGCAGGTGAGTGAAACAGCCTTAAAGTGTGACACCTTTCGCTGTAAACACCAATTGTAAACAATGAATAAACCTCTTCTGTTCTTACTTAAGTTGTACCATGTCGGAATTTTACATCACACTTGTGTGCCTGTGAAATTGTGTGTGCATGTGACAAAATGTGAAATTGAGCCCGAAACTGACACGGCTGCAAAATAATCAGTTTTAAGAACTCGTGTCGGATTCAAAATTGCACCCAAAAATCCTGGACACGGAGCAGACGTTTGATTGTATCTGTTCGGATGAGCAGCTGTGTTTTTCCTTTCATTAATCCAGACAGTTCGAATGGATGTAACCTCTGCTTTTGTACATAACATGTGGATATGAGCATAAACAACAGGGGAGGCACCCAGCATTAGCATCAGAAGAATGAAAACAGGTTAGAGAGCAGCTGGACTTAATTCTACTTGTTGCCTGATGAGTTCGTGGACGACATGAAGCGTGGAGTCTTCTGCCGCGCATGTCAACCCTCTGTGTACGCCCCTCTTTCAACGTCTTTTTTTTGACTCCGCTTTTGAGGAGACTTGGGGCTAAGGACGTTGGCAACAGGTCACCGGTTCACACTCGACAAGTGCTTCTGGCGAGTCTGTGCCCAACTACATTGCTGTGCTGCGTCGTGTCGCTCAGCACTGCGAGTAGACATAGTTTTCGTACAAGTTTTGTGACCGGTTAGTTTGTTGGGTGTGTGAAGAAGCGATTTAGCGACACCTTCTCGCCACACCAGATCTCGCTTTCGCTAGGGAAATGTGGGGTTTTCCGTTTGTCGCACACTCCGCAGCAATCGCAAGTTGTTGAGCTCAACAACTTGCGATTGCTGCGGAGTGTGCGACAAACGGAAAACCCCACATTTCCGGGCTCCAGAGACGGCAGAGGTTCGCCACATGGACAAACACCACCTACACAAGGCATGAAACGGTTCATCAATGCCAAGCCACAGCTTTGGCGCAGGGAAGACATCTTTGAGTACAGCTAGAAAATGTTGCGCACAATGCAAGTAGCTATAATTTTAAACACGCCATTTCTGTGGTGGAAAGGGACTCATCATACATGCGTGCCGTCAGTAGTTGGCCAAATCCAAGCACCACGCTCCGGTAGTGGAATCCAATCATCATCTGGGATCTTTGAACCAAGGTAGAAATCGTTGAAGTTCAAGTAAATGAAATTTTTATCTGCATAGATGGTGAGGCTTGGTCAACAATTGTTCTAAAGAGATAGTGTCGGCTTGGAACGGCAGCAGAGACTTAAACCTAAACTGCTCTCCGAACGTATCCACAATGTAAGTTGGTGGTTCTGGGAAGTGTCAATTTTTCCACGCGGTTCAAGGGAAAGGAGCGTGAGCCACCATTGCTGACCGTGAAAAGACGTGGAGCAAGCCTGCTTGAAGGAAACCGGTTTGAAGTATTCGATAAGCTACGTGATGCGTGGGCAACAGACCTTTCTGGAAATATGTGATGCCCCCAGCGTCTACTTTATGCACTGCGACGTCCAGATGTATGGTACGAGGAATTGTCCAAGAAGCGAAGACGGGGCAGAGGGAGAGCAAAACAGAGGGTGTGTTGACCACTTTTTTTACCACTCACTCAATTTTTAGCATGTTCTGAGCTCCTAATGATAAGAAAGAGAGAATCGTGCTACTACTACGATATACAAAGCATTCGAGCCGGCACGAGCATACATCCGAAGAGCCCCACAATTCCCCCCTTTGCAAGGTCTTTTGCGGAAAGGTCTATTGCGCATTCAGAAGGGGAGAGAGAGAGAGAGAGGGGGGGTCCAAGAAGATGACAAATTGAAACACTCTTTGTCGAGGCTTGAGAAAGGACGGCCTTTCTCTTGTCTACCGCCTAACACAACACAAAGCACTACTATTTAAGGTGTCCTTCAATTAGCCGAGCCACTCCCACAGACTCAAGGACTGCCAAAAGAATTTCCAAGGGTCTTCGAGTAAGGACTTGGCAGACCCACATACTTTCACACTAAATCTAAACTTAAACCCAAGTACCACAAGCGTCGACTTGTTCCTTTGGCCCATGAGCCAAAGGTGTAGTACACCATCACGCAACTCGTGCAACAAGGAATTTTGCCCCCGGTGCGGAAATCTACATGGAGTACTCCGGTTGTACCCGTGGGGAAGTCACACGGCGTGATATGGCTATGTGCATGTCATAAACGCATCATTAATCCAGTCTTGAAACAGAAGTCCTACCCACTGCCAACAGCACAGCAAATGTTAACTTGTAGCATAGTCCTTTATTACGCTTCTGGTCACAAAACTTCTCCGTAACGCTATAGGAGGGCTTGGTGTGCGACTGCGTGTGGCACTGGAATTGACAAGGAGCCTGAAAGCTGTCAATCTAGCCAGCACCACTGGGAACTGGGCATCCAGGACGTGCTATTGTAGTTCCGAACCCACTCTGAATGAGCCACCTTTAGATCACAGTGATGCATCAATGCTCTGATAGTACCGTCCTTTTAACCAAAATTCATCAATGAAACGCATTTAACCCCAATTTGCGTTCAATTAACGACGAGGAAGTTTCTGGACCCCTGAGGATGGACGGCTCCGCTCATCACGGATGAATTATAAAGCTTTCTCCTGGTGAAAACTGAAGTTTGTAGTTGGAATGCCTCGAATCCTACTTCGAGGCTAAGAACATCACAAGCTCTGCAAAGATGCAAGCCGTCTTCATGGCGTTCTGCATGAATAATCCTACGACACCGTACGAGCCCTGCCCGCGCACAAGAAGCTTCGGAGGTCGAGCTTGAGATCATCAAGCGCCTCAATGAGCACCACGACCCCAAGCCAGCGAAAGTGCTCAGTCGGTTCAAATTCCATCAACGGTACGAATCAAACTACGATGGGCTCCGTCTCCGAGGATGTGGTCGCACTGAAAAAAATCACTGCCGACTGCAACTTCGGTACAGTGACGGCCACAACGACCACACCCTCTCTGGCGACGGCCACCACAGCCATGCTTGTGTCAAATGCCAGTTCACCACAAAAGACTCGACAGGTCCCGCAAGCCCCAGCGAGAGAATTCTCCTCTGTGCTACCGCTCGAAGTGGTGATGAGGG